TTCCGTTAAAGGGAGTTTTTCCTCCCCACTGTCGCCAAGTGCTGCTCAAGGGGGATTTGTTGGGTTTTCCCTCTGTAATAATAGTGATAACAGTAAGGTCTAGACCTTACTTTGTAAAGTGTCCTGAGATGACTTTGTTGTGATTTGGTGCTATACAAATAAAATATGATTTGCTAGTTTAACTGCATTCGGGTCACAGAACTTGAAACGGACATAGTGGACTGAGCTGTCATGTGGTAGAAGTTCAGTTTTCCCATTTCAAGAAATGACACAGGTGACATGTTATTTGCAAATACTGCCTGATGAAGGCAATACTAGCTCTGTTTACAATCCTGGATACATCTTGCAGAAACAGTTGGGACACGGCTGTGTGCAACAGTAATGAGCGAACAAACCAGATGCAGAAACGCAAAACCAACCAGTTAGTAACTACCCTTAAGGTCTTTTCTCTTTAAATAGTAAACCACCGTGTTTGAAAAGCACCTCCAGTAAAGCACAAAGCTCACCATTATGTGGCTTGTCTTAGTGTAGTTTGGCATCTCCTTTTCCGAATTTTGTTGCAGCAAGCGCAATTTAGTTACTACTGCTCCCCGCAGATGGGGGAACAACTGCTTCAACTGTTCCAGTACTGAAAACCCGACCACCGGTCGGCACAGCAGAAATTACACCTGCTGAGGGGATACTAAAACACTGATGCGCCACTGTGAATGTGACTTGTTTTGTTTACATGATCCAGCTGCTGTCATAATATCTTACTTCATAAAAGGCCTGCTGCACTGTTTGTTTTGTAATTGTACAAACAGTTCAGCCATTCGGTGCCAATGACAAGGAAGGATTACAGCAAACAAAATGTGTTCAGGATTTCCATGAGTACTGTTTTAAGAGAGACATGAAAAAATGTGATCCACCTGTAAGTCTGACATAAGTTCGGTACCTTCAGGTCCAGAGCTGTGAGGTGCTTTCCCTTCTGTGCTGAATTGTGTTTATACTCTTCAATTGTCCAGGATGGCTGGCTGTGCTTGCCATCTGACAGGCTGGTAAGCCTCAGGTCAGTGTACAGGGGGCTGCCTTTCACATGGGCCTTGACAGAGGGGGTGAAAGGGAGTGGTGAAAAAACCTGTTCAGTCAGGTAGGACTCCTTCATTGGTTTAGGGAAGTGGTGGTCTTGGGGCAGCACATACTGGCGCTCGTGCTCCGCCTGGAAATAAAAAGAGGATTAGAGAACAGAAAAGTCATTGAAGTTTCCACAAGTTCACTTTACATAACCCTTATAAAGTTTTGTAGTTTGTTTGATTTAGGTCCTCCAAGAGAGTTTCTCATTCTAAATCAAACCTTGTCTGGATATTTTGAGATTTTTAAAGCTTCACAACTCTCAACCACAGGTAATTTGTAAAACAGGGAGCACAAGGTGTATGACAGGGGAGAAGGTTTATTTTAAAAATATCAGAGTGATGATATAAATGCCTGGGGAGAGACAATAAAATGCTACTGTGGAGATCTGTGGCATAAGTGGGGGGAGTCAGCTTTCTAATCCTGGCCTGCTATACCAAACATACAAAGCATCAGATATACCGTGGCTTTAAACATCTTCCTTACTCATGTCTGTAATGTGGCAGCTATAAAGCCTAAATGGCCAAATGATTTTCAAGACAACATTTGTCATCAGATTGCTTGTTTATCTTCTAGTTTTATGAAGTCCATAGCATGCACCCATGGGCTCCAAGTCTTCGTTACCCCAGACCAGTGGTTCCCAAATGGTGGTGTGCTATGAGGCAAGTCCAGGTGTGCAATGGGATTTTGTCACAGCCATACATTGATTGATTGATTGATTGATTTTATTCTTTCAAACATGCAGAACAGAACAAATGAACAAATGACAACAACACACATAATTACAGATATCCAACCAATGCTAATTCAAAATCAGTTTGCTTACACCTATTACATGTTTGAATGGAGTAGGAAGAAGTCAGACTTATCCAGTCCTACCCCATGACATCATATTATACAAAATTTCATGCATCATTGGCTGCAAGCAGTATCTCTACTTAGATAAAACAGTGTTTCCTTAATGCCTTCTCGAATAAATCTTATTCTTGCATATATCTTGTATAACACATACATTTATATTTATATTTAAACTCCTCAATTCTAGTACTATTTTTCATGTCCACAGTTAAGTTATTCCATAGTTTGACCCCACTTATAGAAATACAAAATCTTTTTTTGGTTGTACGTATAGCATGAACATTTAAATTTAACTGACCCCTTAGATTGTATCCCCCTTCCCTTTCACCAAATAACTTTTGGATTCCACCAGGTAATAAATTGTTCCTGGCTTTATACATAAACACAGCAGTCTTATATTCCACCAAATCTAAGAACTTCAACAATTTGGACTGTATGAAAACTGCATTTGTGTGATCCCTATACCCCATCTTGTGCACAACTCTTATCGCTCTCTTCTGTAATATGTACAATGGTTGAAGTGAACTCCTGTATGTATTTCCCCAGTTTTCAACGCCATACTCCAAATATAGCAAAATCAATGAAGAATACAAAATGCGCAATGCTTTAACGTCCAGCATATATCTAACCCTTGCCAATATCGATATATTTTTAGCTATTTTATGCTGAACATATCTGATATGAGATTTCCAGGATAATCTGTCGTCAACCATGACACCCAGAAATTTGATTTCATATACTCGTTC